AGTGTGCTTGGCTTTCATAACAACTGGAGCTCAGACACACAGGAAGTTTCAGAACGTAATTTACATGTTGCACTGGTAATTTATATATGCCAGCAGGTTTTTTTGGGGGTTTTTTGTGGGGTTGTTTTTGTTGGTTTTTTGGGGTTGTTTTTTTTTTTTTTTCCTGGAGGGAAATACTGGATTATATTATCAGTTTGTTCCACATACAGTTTAAAACTTTTCTTTATCAGAGTAAACCAAGATAGTACACTGGAGACCAGTCTCTGTGTTTTCCAGAAGCTGATTAGCCTGCTGGTTAAATGATACTGAGTTACATCTTTTATCCCCACTATCAATATGTTGTTTACAAAAGCTTGTCTAACAGTTAATTCTATATTTGACCTAAGAGTTACCTGATTATAAGAGGTAACAGGACATTCATTGCCAGTCACAATTTTAAACCTTACTCAGGTTTAAGGTAATGCTTCTGTTACTTGCCTCCCCTCAGGATCATTGCAGTTTATTTCTGAGGCTCACAAATTGGTGTTTGTACAGTCTGTTGTATATAAAGAGATCTTTCAAAATAACCAGAACTTCAGTTTCACCAAGTGACTTCTTCCAATGCTTTTTTTTTTTTAATCTTTTTCCTTTGCCTACTTACATGTGTCTTTGTAGTCTGGTTCCTTTCCCTGGAGTCACCAGAAGAATCTATGGTACCATGATACATAGCAGAGCAGGGAGAGTTTCTGGTAGCAAGAATGGTAAGAGAATTCAAGGACTAAATTATTGAATTGCTGATGATAAGGTGAAACATCTTATCTAAAACTGGCTTTGTACCTGAGGACTAAAAGGTGGTAAGTATGATGCAAGTTTTTAAAACCCACTCCGTAGAGTGTGAAAGGGGTTTTTTACCAGGCAAATGAATATGTGCCTCAATAAGAACAGTATAGTAGAATACCTTTGTAAAGATAAATCTTTCTCTACAAGCCTGTTTATAGGGATCAACAAGCGTGTGAATAAGGATGTTTAAATCTACATAGTCTGAATTACCAACAAGATTTTTCACAAAACCGCTTGGCAAAGATTTTTAAAGAAAACTAAATTGGCATAAGAAGACTCTTGCATGACAAAAAGATGTTTGGGAGGTAAGTGAGCTGAGGAAATTTGCTATTGGCAAAGTCTCTGAGGTAGACAACAAAAATTGTGAAAGACCTTGATGAGACTGACAAGGCAGAAAATAGTGATTGGTAAAGTTACATCTAGATATTTCTAAAGTGAGGCAGGCACATGGAAGTAAAAATTCACAAAACTTGATATAGAAAGTAGTGAGCTAGGAATTGGTCATCAAGACTTGGGAGTGGGAGCTCAGGTTTATAATAGTGGTTCCTTGAAAACATCAGCTCAGAGTTCAATGCTAATCTACCCAGAGTATTTTATATGGTTCCTGTCCATATCTTCAGTATATTTAATTGAATTTGTTGATTTTTTGGTACACTTGAGATGGGCAACAAGAATGTAGAAAGGAATGGAATTGTTTCCATACAGAGAATGACTGAGTAGCACACAGATAACTCGTGATGTGGTACAGGTCTTATAAAATTGAATTTTATGAAAGTATATGTAAACAAAAATAATTTCTTGGCACTGAGGATTGTAGGCATTGGAAGTGCATGCAAAGAGTGCAAACTGGTTTATATCAGTTTCAGGGGTAACTATACAAGAGAAAGTCAATGGAATTTATCAAATATACACAAAACACCTGAGTCTGGAAAATTTTTGGTGGAAAAATATGAAAAAAGCAGGAAATACAATGTCTGTGCTGCCCCTGCTCTGTCCTGTATGTTGCTACACTTGTATTTTCTAGGTGCCTTTAAAGTTCTTGTTGCAAATCTCAGTAGGTGTAGAGTATTTCTTAATCCTTGCTCTCTTCAATAGTTTGGGTGGTTTTTACAAGACTCATTGCAAAAACGATGGTATCTTCAACTCTCTTGGAAAGACATTTTTAAATTTAACGTTTTATTAAACCAATGGAAGTAGGAGAACAATACTTACAGGTTGTTAAACCTACTTATGGCTACCAGAGCACTATGAATTGCTTTGTTAAGTCCCCCTGCAGCATAAACAGTGTAGTGCAGATTTTTATTTGCATTTGTGGTAGCTGTTAGGTTCTGTTATTATTTTGTTTTATAGACCTGGTTCTTAAATACTGGTGCTCCCCACTGGGCAAACTATACTGCGTCATTTCGTAATAAATACCTCAATGAATAATTCTCTGCCTCTTTCCTACTCCCTTCCTCCCTGCATTGAAGAGGATAATTTTGTTTAGGGATCTAAGATCAGTTTACCCTGCAGCATTAATCTTCTAACAGAGAGATACTATTATATTTTTCCAGTGTGCTGTAATCCACCCCAGTTTCTGACATATTTAAAGTGTATTAATTGTTAATGTTGCACTTCTTGAATTCTAATCATGACCAGCTTGCATGCAGGGCTCCAGTTTGGGAAGGATCATTACCCACTCCCCTGGGGATCACAAGTGGTACTTTCTGGAGGCACCATGAGTTGTATTCTTTTTGTGGGTTTATGTTCTTGTGCTGCTGCATCTGTTTGAAGCTGGGACTTGGTGCAGAGTCTGCATTGTGTGGTTGTGAAGTGCCCTGCCTGGCGCTAGCGCTGCGGATCGTTATTGGAGCGCACAGAGGAGTCATTGATCACTGCTTCTTCCCTTTGTGTCTTGTTTTAAACGGGACTGCAGACACTTGTGGGTATTTTTGCTGTTTCTTTTCACCGGTCTCAGACACTCCAAATGTTTGAGGTACTTTTGAACATTACCCTTTTCTTCTAGATTAACTGATTAACATTTAGTATTTAAGTTGAAATGTAAAACATATCTTCCATTTAAGAAAAAAACCTATCTCTTTCCTAATAATACAGCAATATTTTAACATGTATAATAAATTTAACTATATATATTGATTGCCATATCTATTATAAAGTGGATGTTGAAAAAAATTTTAATCTGCATGTATAATTTTGATATATTATATAGGGCAATGCCGTAAATGGTACAAGTCAGAAGAAGGGGTTCTTTTTGTTGTGTTTAAGCTTTTAGGCTTTGAACTCTCACTATATCCTACAAATAGAATAAACAGGTAACAAGGGCATCTATTTCAGGTTTTTCTTTTTATTTTGTCACAATTCATTGTAACAACAATGCATCATTAAATAATTTAGTAGATGATTCCAGATGAAGTGCTTTTACTTTTGTGTTGTCACATGGTACCCCTGTGGCAATGAAATACAGTATTTAGGGGAAGAAGATAAATATTAAATTACCTCTCTGGAAAATTTGTTACTAATGCCATTTACAAAATCATGCATTTGGTTTAAAATGAATGCAGCAAGAAACATATGTAACCATTGTCCAAAAAAAAAAAAAAAA